TTGATAGGTATATCCTGGCTAATATACTGTGCCGGAAATACTTTTGTTGTATAGTTGGTGGTGTAAACACCGATAATTTAACAGCTACCTATATAACGTTTGTTGACCTCTCGTAAGAATGCCATTTACGCCCTATTTTGTACATTGCTAACACTGGTTTTCTTTTACCTTATCCGAATAGCGCATTCGGGCATATGACTTATAGCGGGGGGGGTCGTGACCCTGAGCTCGCGCGAGAACTGAGTCCCAGACGACGATAAGAACACGCGTTAATAACGCAAAAGACTCACGGGGTAGACGATTGTTTGTAAACAATGACACGCTATAGCCATCTGACGCATGCGCAGGTAACGACTCCTCCGCTTTAACTTGTATAAATGTTGCCGTTATTTGTGTTTATTTATGCTACATTAAAGGTAGTGATATCGGGACAGGGGTCTTTATGGGGACGATCTCATTTAATATCAGTAGCTTTCCTATAATTGTGCATTGTGTTATTTTATACGGGTATGTATTTGCATCGACAGCCACGGATCGATACAAAGATGTAATGGATCCACAGTCTGACCTTGTGCAAACACCGCAAAAAAAATACGAATGGTAACTTTGGAAGTCATTACTGGATGACGAACTGAAGTGTCCTAGACTTGCTAAACAATGCGTGAAATGTACGCTATATAGCCACGCGTTCATTGAGTTCACCCAAGTGTATTTCCTAACGGGAGTTCCTCAGGGCTTCCCACGGCATACTTGTAGGCATTAAACTAGCAAGTTATGTCCATGACGCCTCGTTGACGATGAGTACGTAATGTTTTGTTGAAGGATTCTTATTGGGCGCGTTTATTTTATCGGCGGTGAGGAGGGCGTACTTGTCTTTCTTAAAATGCCGATTCCGCACAATATACGCTGTCGTCAACATTGTCAATAAAACATGTCGTTTTTATTGATTGCATTCCACCATTATCTATTAATATAAACCAACAACGATGCGAAAATCAGCCACAGTGCTTATATTAAATTCATGTCCTTGTGGGCGCTTCTCCAAGCCGAAAGCATTCGCCAGGTCACCGTGTGCATATTCGGTTCATACGGTTTGCTTGGATGTTATTCTAAACATTAGTACTGGTGTTTACTGCGAGGTTGCGTAATATTATATTATTGCCTGAATGGTGCGGGGTGTGCTTCATCACAACATATGTGAATAAAGAGAGATCGAATGGTAATAAAAACCGTTTTCGATTGTCCACTCTATCTCGCTATATATATATATATATATATATATATATATATGCAGTCGTCCCATGCATTATAATACTAGTACCGGCATGAACCCAGTTCCCGTTTTAGACGATATAGCCATAGAACGTTTTTTTTTTAACAATGGACTATTTTGCATTTGAATGCAGGATCCAGCTTGGGCCCGGCAAATCCATCTCTTTTCAATCGACATCGTACCCTGGACACGTACGAACCAAAATATTTAGAATGTTACGGCTCTATGTAGTGTCACCGCCTCGCCCATATAGCATCGATTACGAAGTCATTATTATTAATACCGGTAAATCGTAGAAAAAATGACAAACTCTTACCTGATGACAATATACACAGAAAACAGATCAGCGACATATGTGACAAAAATGACAACATTTTAGCGATTTTCCCAAAACACTCTTGCCCTCTCGGCGTATGGATGTAATCGAAATTTCCGACGACTCGAGGACGCTCGGGTATTCACGAATAGGTTATTCTGACCGAAGATATCCGAAGTTAGCGGTTCAGAGTCGCAGGAATCTGTGTTCACTCTTGATCCCCCATACACTGGCAGTTCTCTCCGTATTCTCGCTGTTACAATGCGTGTACAGAACGACCTTTGTTGACAAACTATCCCAGAATGCAAAGCTGTGACAGACAGCCCTGTGTATGACTCCCCCGCACGACGCGCCCATTTTGGTCCCTCGTCCATTGTTCCACTGAAACGCCATTCGCCTTTCATTTCGTAAAGCGATTTCTTTCATTGTTGGATCATAAAAGGGTGTAAGTCAGGTAATTTATTTGCTGATCCCTTCTGTGTGACCCCCAATTTAAGGCATGGCAGACGACGCTGCATTCTTCCATTAGTCAGCATCAACATTTTTATAATTTAAGCAAATAACACCGAATAAACGGCAAGGTAAAGACTATGTCTAATTATAGTAAATACGTACTGCGTGCGTGACTCGAACCGGCGCTCGCGTACGGCACCTAATCGCCTAGCTTCACGCCACTACACGTCTTCCCCTCGGCCACCGGGCATCCCCAAAAAAGGATGCTT